AACCCTGTAATACCACGAAAGAGAGGCGAGACAAGTGATCGATAAAGAAGTACAGAATTTTCGCTTCCTGTATACCCAGTGTAAACATATAAATTTGTATCTTTATTGCTCGATTTTATATGCTCGCTTTACTATTGCGTCCAAGGGTCTAAGAATTCGGGTGTTCGAATTTTTCATTTATGTTTCACTTGGAGAGCTGCAATTTGGAACAATTTTTACGGCTTCGTAAAATGTGTACGAAGCCGTATATCATGCTATTGATTTTGCCAGTCTTATGCTGGCTCCGATATTTTTAAATAAATCAAATCGATCACCGCGATTTTATTAGAAAATACACGACGCAGTCGAACCAATGCTTCGGGAAGTTCTCCGCGGCGAGAAAATGTATTTTCAGTGCCAAAGAAAATAAATTTGCCTCGAGAAATTACTTCCACTCAGTCCGTGAGTAAAAAATGCGCATAAAAATAAATTTAAAACCGCGTTTCGCTCTCCGTTCCTCGACCCAACAGCTGTTCTTCAAAACACACTTGCGCGCGTAATGTATCGCAAAAAACAAACGTAATACCTACTCGTATAACAGAAACACATTCTTCCTTTCGTTCCGCAAACTCCTGAGCAGGAAAGTCTTTGAAAATTACGCCCGATGCGACGCAAAGAGCCATATATTTGTACAAAGCATAGCAAACACAGAGTGTTGTAGTTGAATTTAAAAGGCGGTTCGGAGCGTGTCTGCCGGCATCTACACATCTTCCTCGGGAGCTCGTGTTCCTATAAAACGGAACTGATCCTCTTAAAGGTAAGACTTCAGACACTTTCGGCCCAAACTTATTTAGTCAGGAATCGGTTCGAGTAAGATACGATCGTGCTTCAAAGGCGTACGGAATTCGCTGAATTTTAGTTAACATTTGGTGTTATTCAGACGACTACGTCTTTCATTCTTCGGTATTCTCTCCGTTGATTGGTTAACTCGTAATTAAAGTTCTCATTTATCCATCGGTAGATATTAAACAGTCGAGATCTCAAGGATTCAAAGTTTACTGGGTTATTATTCAGTGTGCTTCATCTTGCTTCAAAGACGTACGAAATTTCGTGAATATTGATTAACCATATGTATTATTCAGAGGATTTAATATTTCATTATTATTCATTATTCACTCTGTTGATTAACTAGCTCGTAACTGAAGTATCACCTAGTATATCAGTATATATTAACACTAAACAGTTCTTATATACTATGATATACAAAATTATATACAATTGTTTCATGCATTACTAAATTTAGCACCACGTGAAATATTTTCGCCTTTTGTTTAAAAAAGTGTCTTCAAGACTAGCTATTTATCCAATCGAGATAGAAATAGGTACAAGCAAAACGTCAGTAGGTTTACTGTTAAATACCCAGAGTACATCTCAGGGACTCGTTTATTTAGCTAGTCTTCAATCAGTGTGCTTTATCTTGCTCCAAAGACGTACGAAATTATATACAATTGTTTCATGCATTACTAAATTTAGCACCACGTGAAATATTTTCGCCTTTTGTTTAAAAAAGTGTCTTCAAGACTATCTATTTATCCAATCGAGATAGAAATAGGTACAAGCAAAACGTCAGTAGGTTTACTGTTAAATACCCAGAGTACATCTCAGGGACTCGTTTATTTAGCTAGTCTTCAATCAGTGTGCTTTATCTTGCTTCAAAGACGTACGAAATTTGCTGAATTTTAATTAACCATAGGTATTACTCAGAGGACTCGGTATTTCGTCATTCAGTATTCACTCTGTTGATTAACTAGCTCGTAACTAAAGTATCACCTAGTACATCGGTACATTAAATACCCAGGGTACATCTTAAGGACTCAGAGTTTACTCGATCAACACGTTCGTCGGTTGGTATCCGGTCTTAAGCAACACATATATTTGTTTACCTCGCAGTCCTTGCCCGATAATCTCCTCCTATCTCCAATAAACGGTATACAACGCGCAAAAGTAATTGCAAAGGCATACATCGGCTTTAGGTGTGGCGTCCTTGCGCTCACATCTGTTTCTCAGTTTACGTCCGGCGTTGAAGCTGATTTAACCGCGCTAACGAAATTACAAGAGGCAACGACGGTCGATCGTAATCCAGATTAAGGCTAGTCGTGTTTCGCGCTCTCGGCGAGCTGGTTCGGTTTCGCGCACGTCGTCCCGGAAGAAAGGCTCCGTGTTTACTCGGAAAGAACTGGGAAGAAGGTTGGCGGACGCTCCTGGCGTTGTAAACAGTGTGTTTAAAGTTCGATGGGGAGCACTTAGGCGAACGCGCGTCGGGTGGATGGCGAACGTCGATTCGTGGGAATTTAGCGACGAGCTTCTCGTGAGCTTCGCGGCTTTTGGAGAAGTTGCTGTACACCGTGTCGAAAAGTAAGCTTTTTGTTGGAATTTATATTCGAAGAGGTTATTCTTAATTCGTGAGTTTTTCAAGAATTTGGACGAGGGTTGCAATTACGAGAAATTCGGAATTTTTGTGCTTTTGAGTATACATTTATTTCAGACTTCTGTTCTTAAGTTTTGAAATACAATCGGTTCTATAATTATTCGTATCCTCTATGTCTATTGAAGAAATTTGTTTAAATTAACCGTAACATATGTAATTTATACCAGAGTACAGCTAATTACTAATTGAAATAATAATACATCGAGTCAAGAATGTTCGTAGATGTTTCTTTTCGAAGTGGAGTTCTTGGTTTTACAAAAATTTGTTAGATTTGAACCTATAGAAAATTGCCTCGGGCACAAAGAGTTAAACATAATATAATATAAATATGTATAAATAAATATATACATGTACAAGCTTGTTCATATACAGTCAGTGTAACAAGTATTCGTACAGGAACCATTTATTTTTAATTGATTGCTGTACGAATACTTCTTGCACCGACTGTACATATTTATAATGAAACATTCATTTGGTAATATCTAAACTGTTATTTAATTTGGTCAAACTTCTTCGATCAACATAGGGGTATGAATATTTATGGGATTCACTGTATTTACATAGTTAATGTTTATTTGAAAGTACGATGCGAGGAACGAGATATTTTATGCTAAATAAAATTGACATGGATTTCGTCGTTAATTTAATTTATCATTACAATAAATTCCGCAGGCAATTGGAGTTCAAACGTCGCGTATTTCAGCTTAAAAATACACCAAAGTGTGGCTCATTTGTCAACCGTGAACTTCGTTAAGTATCGGTTGGAAATAATTCCATCGCGGAATACTTCCAGTGCAAGATCCTCCATTGGAAGACTCGATTAACCGCTATTTAAGCGATTTAAATATGAAACCTGCCGCGAGCGTTTTCTTTCTCGCTGAAAACTTCTCTTTTCCTCGACCTCGTGTCGATCGATGGATATTATTTCGTCTTATTTTTCGCTGACTTCGAAACGTAGCGAATTATTTATTTCTACCTCCATAGAAACGGATCCTTTTCATAAATTTGCACGAATTATGCCAACTATACGTACGCCGTCGTGAATGCGTAATTTTGTGGTGAAATGACGAAGGCAGGTTTAAAAATATTCATTGATTTAAGAGCGAACTGCGAATAACGTTCTCGAATGCTTTTCGGTTACTCGTTGAATAAAGATATCACGAAGGTATTTATTCAGGATCAACTTTGCCCTGGTATACAATTTTTTTCTCCTTTCATCGACGAGATCGCTGTATAATTTATATTATTTACTTTACGCATTATGAACGCGGGGGTTTTAGTTATAAGAGGATATTTCAAACGGGTACGATTAAATGAAATACATACGTATACAAATATTCCGCCATTTCGGAATCAATATAAATACAGATGGCGAATATAGTCCCGCTGATGCGTTCGGCAAAGATTGTCAATTGCTAGTAAATTATTCATGAAGTTCGTTCACCTTCAAATCGACGGTTTTCGTGACAGCGTTTAACAACGCGTTCGAGTTTTTGCTTTCAACGGTTAAAACACGAGGAAAGCTTTTCAAATTCAGAGATCCTTTCTGTCAATTTTATATTTATATTGTTTATTCATCGAAGTGCATGGAGATATTTGAGCCACGCGATTTAACCCTTTGCACTCGAGAGGCGACTCTCAGTCACCACTAGGTTTTTTTTAGGTTTAGTTTCTTTGGAACTCGAAGTACCAATAAAATGATTATTGTTGAGGCAAAGGTGACCTGATTCTCAAATTAGAGTCGACTCGAAGTCAATATAATCTTAGCATTCGTGGCAATAGAATGCTAAGAAAGCATCTCGAGTCGCTGGTTGATACCAAAAAAAAGGCCTCGAGTGCAAAAAATTGATCTATTGGATTGTCCAGAAAGTTCGTGCCAATTTTTAAGAAAAATTCAATGGTATGATGTTATTTATTGAATTACATAGGTACCATTTTATCCCACAACCTTTCCATCTTTTAAAGGCCGGACTTTACAAACAACCTAATATATTCTATTGTTAAAGCAGAATCAGAAATCGACAGGACTAACGCGACAAGCAAAGATTTTGCAATATTCTGTATCGCCTGTACCACCAACCAAAAATCGGCATGGACTTTACAGATAACCTACTATTTTTATTTTTTATTTTTCTACTACTAAATACACAATAATATATAAAGTAATTCTTCATTATTTCTACATATTTCTGCGAAGAATGAATAATGTAGAATGTAGAATGCTAAGAAAACATCTCGAGTTGCTGGTAGATACCAGGAAAAATGGCTTCCAGTGCAAAGGGTTAAAATGAACTCCGAAACAGTTCGCTCATTCTCGCGAGGACACTTTCAAACCCGCTAAACCCCGAAAGAGTTAAACTCGCGTCGACTGCTTCGCGAAAGATAGTCGTCCTTTATTTCCTGGGAAGATGGGACAGCGTCGCGAATGTTCCTCGTGAGTATCAAAGTTTCCGTAATACGCGGCGCGCGCGAAACATTGACAACTAGGTATCGGTAGCAGTTCCCCGATAACGACCCTTTGTTTCTGTTTCAGAGGAGGTGTTCGGCTCGAACAAGGCGTTATGGTTCTCGCCGAGCGGCACTAAGCTGGCCTTCGGTTTCTTCAACGACACGCAGACACCGATCATAACGATACCGTTTTATGGCTATCCAGGAAGTCTGACGTTCCAATACACGTCCGCCATTTCGATCCATTACCCAAAGGTAAGCGTTCCGAAATTTCATCGTTTTTTCGCGTACCGTTCGACGCTTCTCTCCGGGCGAAGTTCAAGGGAAGCTTCGAAGTTAACAGTTCGAAGAAACAGAGCGAGCCAACAGCGACGAGGAAACTTTCCTTGCTCTTTGTTCCGAGAGAAAGAAGTACATAGCATGCAGTCCTCGACAATTTGATACGTATACAGAGGCTTTCCTTGCGTCTTGGCCGCCATTGTTTCCAATGGCACCGGGGAAAGTGTGTCAGGATGAAATTGCTTGCTTTCGGGAACGCAAATATTATGATTGGGAACGTTTTCCTTCAAGGTCGCGGCTCTTCAAGGTCGCGGCCCTTCAAGGTCTTGAACGTCACGTGACCGACGCGAAAAAGTCGAACTTTGGGTAAAGATACGCGGTTTACCTTAATCTCGAGAATAACGGAGAATATTTTCTTTTATTCGAGCCATTCACTGCACGAATTGAAGTAAATTATTTATTATCCAATGGCCAGAAGAATTTTGCGAACAACTTAGACTATACCAAGTGCTTTGACACTTAAATTTAGGAATTTTAGGATCATTTAAATTTTAAATTTAGGATGTCTTTAAAAAACAATAGGAGACACCCAGTATAGTAACAGTACTATCTTTATTACATCACAGTATAAAGATACACAAGCAAAGAGTAGTACAGTCCGATACCATTCATGTCTGTACCATAAATTTGACTATACCAAGTGCTTTGACACTTAAATTTAGGAATTTTAGGATCATTTAAATTTTAAATTTAGGATGTCTTTAAAAAACAATAGGAAACACTCAGTATAGTAACAGTACCGTTCTCAGTAGTCTTTATTACATCACAGCATAAAGATACACAGCAAAGAGTAGTACAGTCGATACCATTTATGTCTGTAACATTAAACACATTCTACCTACTATTTTTTTTTATCATTTGGAGATCGTAATATCGCACAGGGTCGAAATCGTTTCGTTCCGATGTTCAATTCGATCCCTATAACTGCGACCATACGCTCAATCGCGAATCAATAGCCGCAAGAAGAGATTGATATTCTCCCTGCGCCAGCCCCGCGGCGAAATTACGGTTCAAAACTGGAAATTCGGGAAAACGTCTGCAAGCGTCGTTTGCCTTTCGACAAGCGTTCCGACGAGCACTTTCGCGAAACTATCCCGCGGAGGGAGAAAAAAATTAATATCGCCCACTCGTGTTCCCCAGCTGTTTCGTTCAGAAAACGTACCTCGGACTCCTCTCTCTCTCTCTCTCTCTCTCTCTCTCTCTCTCTCTCTCTCTCTCTCTCTCTCTCTCTC